AATATTTGATTAAAATTGAGATTAATCAATTAAATGGAATTAATTAAGTTTTGGTAAAGATAATTCCAATTTAGTATTGTTAAACTTATAAATTGGAGAATCTATAATAAATAATTAATCAATCAAATTATTTATTTTATCAAATGATTACTAAAAATAAATTATAATAAATTATATACATCTAATACTTAATCTAATTCTTTCATATTATATTCTAATTCTCTATTTATTATTTCTTTTTATGACATTATTTTTCTATTTCTATTAAATTATTAATTAAATTATTGAAATTTTAGAAGAAAATAGCAATTTAAAAATATAAATTTTTTGAAGAATTAGTCTTCTTATAATAATACTAAATTATGAATTAGTCATAAAAAGTTTATATTTAAGTATTTAAGATGTGAGATGATATATTTATTTTAATCATATTAATTTGACTAAAGTATAAAAGAGTGTTTAAAGTAATGTACTTATATTTCTAAAAAGCTTTCTACAAACTGCTTTTATATATATATTTTTAGAAGCTTGAGCTTTCTAATTACCTTAAATTTAATGATTTTATCTAATAAATTATGATTTTATCTTTAGCATTCAAAAGAAGCAGACAATAGTAAATATCTATTTTGTAGCTATTTCCTTATTTGTATAAATCACCTTTGGTATTTCTTATTTATCAAGTAGTTAATGATCAACTACCATCTAGATTTATTATAAACCAATTTCAAAAAGATCATTATAACTATATTCATTTTGCAAAGATTTAAATCATCCTCTGTTTCCAAAATGATAAGAGAACTTAGTTGAGTCCAAACTAAATCTATGAATCTTTTGAAATCATTTTATTTTGCATTTATTTATAGAGCCAAATAAGATCATTTTTCTTGATGATAGATTCTTTAGTGGATCCTGAAAAACCAGCTTATTGACCTATTCCAATAATTGGTACTTATGAGTTTCGATTTATGGAGTTCAGTGATTTCAATGTCATTTTTCAATGTCAGGAAACTTCAAATAGAAAAATGAGGTTGTAGAAAGATTTGAAACTTTTGTCTTTGTTTCTTGTCTAATCTAGCTTCCAAGAGAAAGATATCAATCTGTTGTTTGATAAATGAAATTTATTTAATGTTAAATTTTACTTTTTTTGTAAGGAATTTCTAAGGTTAGGATAAATCTGGATAAGAGAGGTTAAGAAATACAGATTAGAAATTCAGAAGTAAAGGGTAAAAATGGAACACCAACTAAAGGAATAATTTAGAACGCATGATATAAATTGAAAAGAGCGTTTTAAGAATAAAAGGATAGACCTGGATATTTAACATTCCTTAAGAATTTATATTTAGATTGTAGACCAATGGAATCTAATTGAAATTAGATAAAAATGTAAAAAAGAATTTATGATAATTCTGAAAAAAATTTAAATAATCTGTCTATTTTTGGAGAGAATTTGAATTAGGATTTGTAAATAATTATAAACTATCTTCAATAGGATAGAAATGATAAGAGATTGATAAAGCAAATGAATTCAAAAAAATTAAATCTATTTGCTCTAAAATCTAAATACCAAAACGATTTTAGTCCTAATGGCCTTAAAAATTTTGAATGATTATAGGGATCTATCAGGGAACCTATAGAAGAAGGAGCAAGAATAGCCTCTCAATGATATCTGTTTTTAGACTTTAACTCTGGTTATCACTAAATTATATATAAATACTAGATGAATTTATATCAATAAATAGAGTTCCATTTCTTGAGAGTTAGTAGAAGATTAATATTAGAATAGATGTTGGAAAGAAAGGAGAATTTAGGAAGCCTAGTAATAAAAATTCAGATCTTTTAAAGCAGAAGATATATCATCAGTAAGACCAGGATATACATAGATATAATTAGCTTATATTGCTTTTTGTATTGAACAAAAAATAGTTAGATAATGCATAATTGGATGGATATATAAAATCAAAGAGATTAATATCAATGAATAAAGTACACCTAGCATTCAAAGTATATAAGAGATGAGACCAAAATCATTTAGATTCACATCATTAAATTTATGAATTAACATATTCAAATAGAATAAGTTAGATTCTTACAATGGAACTTGATGAATTATGTAGGCTTAGGTTGGAATTCATATATTAGGATTGAATGCTTTGAGGAGAATCTACTCTTTAATAACAGATTAAAATATTAGGAAGACATAAAAGCCACATTTATTTAGCAAAGTAAAATTCTTAAGATTGTAAATACTATTTTCTTTGTAAATCTAATATATTCATTAGATACAATTCAAAGATTATATGAATATAAAGATAGAACAAAAATTAAATTGATCGTTCAAATTTCAGACTTTGAATAAAAAGAGAAAAATAAGCATTCTTTTAAAATTATCATCTTTAATCTATTGATATTTCTCTAAGATTCATTTTTTAGCATAATTCTCATGATGCAATATAATCTTGAGGATTATCAAACAGTCCCATAATTATGGCATGAATTTGATTAATAATTTTATTAAAGAAATTATTCAAAAGTTAAAGAGACTGGAAGAAAATTAAATTCCCTTTGGGCAAAAGGAAGTAAAGACATAGGCATTTTACTAGTTAAATGTCCCTTTATATGAAAGACTCTCACATTTCCATACAATTTTTTAAGGAGTACAGACAGATTTGCAAAAGCAATTACTCACATTTTGATATCTAAAATAATAAATTTCACACCAACTCAAACCATGTTTGAAAAGCATTCAAAACCCCAATGCACATAAATTATCAGGGTTCCCTTGAGTCTACGCTATTGACCTAAACTCTACTTTAGTATGCGTAAATCCTTTTAATAAAATTCATGTTAGTTAAATTTATCTCATTTTTAGAAATTTCTGTAAAATTGAAAAAATTAATATATCATATATACAATCATTTCTTAAATAATAACTTTTAATTAACAATTCGTCAAAATTAATTTCAAAATTAAAATGGATATACGAATATCAATTCCCTTGCCTCTATTC